CCACCATGTTGGATGATATAACAAAAGACATGGCCACCATGTTGGATGATATAACAAAAGACATGGCCACCATGTTGGATGATATAACGAAAGACATGGCCACCATGTTGGATCTGTTGTTAAATTCATCCAACATGGCGGCCGCGAAAACCATCAATTGGTGTTAATCTGTGAGTTATTCGTGCCCTGACTTAGATCAGACCAGAGGTACGTTGTTTCAGGGCTCGATCTGTGAGTTTGCCATGGCCTGACTTAGATCAAATTGAAGGTTTTTACTTACCCTGTTGTTCAACTGTATTTTATAAGAATGGAGCTGACTGGCAAGTACTCCCGCTCGTGCCTGTGCTAAGCGCACTTCCCTTACGCCATTTCTTGCTCTATCACGCACTTTTTTACATGCTCGTATTTTCTTGATGATGCTATAGATATCCATCGCTTAAAAAAGACACAAATCCACACGTTACAAAGGCAAGGTAAGACAAAACAATGCAATTCTTAGAGGAAAAGAATTCCAGAGTAAGTTTACTGCTGCACCGTTTCAAAATCCCAGGTCGTAGTCTATAAGAAGTTCTATTGCATACAACCGATTCACCATGCAACGGATAACGAAGAAAACTGTGTTAGGTAATACCTAACACAGTTTTCTTTGTTATTCGTTGTACGCGACAGGTCACCAGGCCCAGAAGATTTGTCCGAGAGACACTGGGTACTATTACGATAGAGCTAAGATAGTTAACACAGCACGTGAACTTTAGTTATGAAATTTAGTTATCAAGAGGAATATTGGAGGTTGTTATTGAGTTTTTCTTTTGGATTCAATAGGGACAAATTCGGTAAGTCTATTATAGTTTGTATTAGATCACACAGATTGATTCTAAGAATCTCGTTGATTGTATTTATAGTGAACCGCACATCGATACACGACACATCGACTCATCAACACAGCATACTTTCGAGAATTTCTATCTTATGGAATAATAACGACACGAGAGATAATGAATCTTCGTTTAATCTGATTAAGAAATAGATGTATGTTTGTGAATGCGAGTTTCATGAAGGACCTAATAAATATAGATCGATGAAAGCAGAGTTAATTCCGATGAAAGGCAAGAATATTTTCTACATTCGTTGCATAGTAAATCGGTTAGGTTTAGGTAAAGGAATATAAAACGCGCGCGCATGTCTCTGTACTGTAATATAAACACGCTGGGAACTGTAGGGCACGAGAGAAGAAAGCTTAGGAACCCGAGGCGTAGCCGAGTGTGTCTACTATCATTTGTTGTTACAAAAGCAGCTTACCGATTGATACTACACTCATTACAGAACCAGCACCCTTCATGAATCTCGCTGCACGACTACCAGTGAAGGTAGCTTTGTACATGCTTCTTGATGTCTGTTTTAAGTGCATGTTCATCCCGGCTTTAGAAAATCCAAAGAATTTCTTGGCGCCAGGACCGGCTTTGAGTAACTTACTGCCGTAACTGGTGCGGAGAGTTTTGGTTATCTAGTAATTAATATTGACGATTAATTAAGCGATATATAAATTAATCACTCATTCAATTATTTAATCATTCATGGATGGAGGGATGAAGGGATGAATGGATGCATGGATGGAGGGATGGAGGGATGGAGGGATGGAGGGATGGAGGGATGGATGAAT